CTCCTGACAGGAGGGGACAGCCGGGGGGTCGGGCTCTGCTCCAGGAACAGGGACAGGAGGAGAGGGAACGGCCTCAGGCTGGGCCAGGGCAGGCTCAGGGTGGGCAGCAGGGGAAATTCCTTCACTGAGGGGTGCTCAGGCTTTGGAACTGGCTGCCCAGGGCAGTGGCGGAGCCCCCACCCCTTAAGTGTGCAAACACACACAGAGGGGTGCCTGGAACAGGGGTCAGCGCTGGGTTAATGCTCAGGCTCGATGATCTTTAGAGAGCTTCTCCAACCTTTCTAATTCCCTAATCCCACCTCCAACTCTCATCCTCTGCCACAAATGTGTACAAGCCACCTATCCACCTCAGCTAACATTTGGTCCCGGTCACCACAGCCCCACTAAAAGCCCTCTGCGCAGAAACCTTACAAAGCCCAGCTCAGGAGCTGGGGTCAGGGGACAGGAGGTGACCTGGGTGTCTCCAAGCCCCCAGCCCCTGTAGAGGGCAGAGACCTGTGACACAAGACTTAAATCGAAGGAAATCATGACCACAGACCCCCAGTGGGGTTTGTAGGGACGAGCTGCTGTGCTGGGGTCCCTCAGAAGGGATGGTGGCCGAGTGGCCACCCTGCAGCTACCTGGGACAAGCTTGGTTTGGCAGAGCCTCGCTCAGAGCTGGGGCAGCAATCTGCAAGCTCAGCTTATTAAACGAGCCAGCCCTGTGTCCTCAGCACATCCTGCTGCACAGGTGACATCGTGGGTGTCACCTGCTCGAGTTCATAACAGCAAAAACTGACTCTGTGCACGGAGGGGCTGGGGAGGATCCCGAGGTTCAGTGACTGGGATGTGCCCCCGCGCCTGCCAGAGCCTGCAGGAACCTCCTGCAATGGTGGGGACACAGGACATGAGGGACTGTGGGCCTGGCTAACATAACAGACTTGGTAACACGATGCCTTGGCAAAAGCAAACAGAACTTTGAAAATTAGACCTCAACTGCAAGAAAAAAGAAAATCCCATTGAAGTCTGCAAGCAAGAGATGCTGTTATATGCATAAGTTTGTGTATGTGATTTTAACCTAATCACTGCAGTAACATTACTAGACTCCCTAAATTACTATGTAAGTGTTTGTATCCCACAATAAAATTGGATTCTGATCACTGAATCAGTCTCCCTGTCTCTTGCCAGCCCCAACAGGAACCCTCCAGCTCAGGCAATCTCTGGGAGCCAAGAATTCCAGGGGGTGCAGACTGCAGCACTGGAATGCTGGTGGGTTTTATTAACACACTATTAAGATGTCACAAGGGTGACAAATCAAGCGTCCACACTCTGCTCCAGGTTCCCAAAGCCTCTGCCTCAGCACTTTTAATGCAAACAGTCCCTGCTGCATCCCCTCAGAGTGAGGTTTGCATTCCAAACCCCGCTCCCGAGCCCACTCACGCCTGCTCCACGGCCATAAAAGTAATGAAATATCCCATAAAAGCCACTGGCACTGAGATATTTTATTTTAATAGCCTGGGCCTTTGCAGAAGCTTTCTCAGCTCATGCTTGCTGCATCTGTAAAGGCCTTAGAACACCTCCTGACACGGGGGTTTGGTTTTCAAAGTGTTTTCAGCTTCTGAACTGAAAGATTCAGCTGCCAGTTGCTCTTTATTCTGCCACCTTCATCACCAAGGACTAGACAGGAGAGCTGCTGAGGGGACTGAAGCCCAGCTCTGGCTCCTGGTGACTGCCCCTCACACACCAGCAGCAGCAGAGGTTTGCTGCTGCACAGCTCAGGCCATTCCCAGCCTGGCCCACCGGTGTTTTAAAGCACCGACACTCAGTAATTCAGCAGCACCTCTGTACATGTGCCACTCTCCATGTGCATGACAGATACATCAAATTACTAATGTACAGATGGCTCCTGTCCCTTTGTCTTTAGGAGAGGCCAAAGGGCTTTCTCCTCATTTAGAACTACTCAGAGCTGAGGTCAGGATCAGTTATGGAAAAATCAGGGGTTTGAATGGCCGGAGCTGGGTCAGGGGAGGCTTGGGTTGGGTTTTACACAGAATCAGCTGGGTTGGAAAAGACCTTTGAGATCACCGAGTCCCACCTATGAGCTGACACCACCCTGTCACCAGACCATGGCACCGAGTGACATCCAGGCTCTCCTAAAACCCCTCCAGGCACAGGGACTCCGCTCCAGTGGGCAACCCCTCACATTGTCCCATCGCCCTTCTGGGAAGAAATCCTCCCCGATGCTGCTCACCCAGAGGGAATGGGCACGAGCATGGGCATGGGAATGGGCATGGGAGTGGGTACAGGCATGGGAACGGGTATGGGCATGGGAATGGAATGGGAGTGGGTATGGGTATAGGAATGGGCACAGGAATGGGAATGGGCATGGGAGTGGGTATGGGCATGGGAGCAGACATGGGAATAGGCATGGGAATGGAATGGACACAGGAATGGGCATGGGAATGGAATGGGCATGGGACTAGGGGCATGGGAATCAGGGCATGGGCACAGGAATGAGGGCATGGGAATGGGCATGGGAATGGAATGGACACAGGAATGCGAATGGGAGTGGGTACGGGCATGGGGGCAGGGGAATGGGACTGGGAATCAGTGCATGGGAATCAGGGCATGGGCGCTGGAATGGGAATCAGCATGGGAATGGGCACATGGGAATGGGCACATGGGAATGGGAAGGGGCATGGGAATGGGGCATGGGAATGGGGCATGGGAATGGGCACATGGGAATAGGGCACAGAAATAGGTGTAGGAATGGGCACGGGAATGGGCACGGATGGCCCTGAGGCTGCAGAGGTTGGACAGCACTGCTGGGATGGCAGCTGGGATGGCTGGGTCTGTGCAGGGCCAGGGGATGCCCAGGATCCCCGGGGTCACTCCCAGCTGAGGACACTCCCCGGGGCAGGGGGCCAGGCCTTACCTGCTGCTGGCCCTGCTGTGTCTGCTGCGTGCTTTGCTGGCTGGCGGAGTTGGTGGCGGCGGCGGCGGCGGCCGCCTGCTGCTGGAAGAGGCTGGCAGGATAAACTCCCCAGGGAGTGACTCCATAGTACTGGTGAGGGACCACAGCTGGACCTGGAACACAGCACGGGCACCGTGAGCTCCTGGGGGGCAAGGGGCACACAGCACCCCAAAAACACTGCTCATCGTGGCTCCTCTAATGTGTGAAACTCTGCAGACACAGAGGGATCTGGCATTTGGCTCACACATTATAAAGTTTCAAGTCAGACCTGGAATTTCATCCCTGCACGAGGTCAAACTCTGCCAGCAGTGACTCCATGTTTTTATTGGTGTGCCCTGGTTTTACAGAGAAGGAAGAAAAATCTCCAGGCCCAACAGAGGAACCTTGTTTCAAGCACAGAGATCACTGCTCCTCCCAGCTGACATTCACAGCTCACTGCATCCACCCTCAGCTCCTCAACAAATCACCAAACCCTCTTCACAGCTGGAGTGCATCAACCCTCAAGTACTAAAATGCTTTTTCCAGCCCTGCTTTGCATTTGCAAATCTCCCCCAAAAGAGGCTGCACGATCCTGTCCCAATTCTCTCCTCAAACTTCACATCCCCTCCTCAAACTTCAGAGGCTTAAAAATAATAATAATAATAATCTTGGCGAGCAGCAGCAAAGGCCTCACTTTTGAAGATTCCTTGTGTTTATCATGTCTCAGGACACCACAGAAATTTGGAGATAGCAGAATGGCAGCCTCTCTCCCTAAATAATCCCAGTTAGAACAGGGCTGAGGAGGCTCTCAGTGCTGGAGGGAGGAGCCCTTCCCAGCCAATAACACAGATGGGAATCCAATAGTATTTTTAATACAACTGTTTGGAATCTGTAGGAAAAGTCAGCAGAAAAGCAGAAGTGTTCCCTGTGATTCCCAAATACATCCCCCATTCCAAGGCTCCCTCCCCACAGCAGGAATAGCTCAGGCAGAGCCAGAGTCAGGTGTGACACTGGAATAAACAAATCTTTAGAGAACCTTGGTCATGTCTGGAGTAAAACCAGGAGTTTTTCTTTTCAAAGAGAGACACTGAGCACTTGGGTTCTGCCCAAGTCTGTGATTCCACGGAAAATGAGGGATGACACAAAAAGGGAGGTGCAAACAGTGTTCAGTGTTAGCCTGGCTGTGACAACGGGGGGAAATCCTGGAAGTCCCTTTTCCTTTTGGTTTTTGATCCTTTCTTCTTGATTTTTTAATACAGTAACAGGCCCAGCTGAACTCCTGCAGAATATCAAGGATGAGCTCCTGCTCCCACATCCACACTTCAAAACATTCATTCCATGTTTTGTGCCAAATATTAAATTCCTATTTCAAACATGTAAGAGTTACTCTCAATATATTACTCTGGTTTTAACTACTGTGCTTTCCCCAAATTTAGGATTGAGGTGCCCAGCTCTGTGCACAGCAGGGAGGTGCTGGCTAATTCCAGGCAGATGCTGAACGCCTGGATTTGTACCTCACCCCAAAGCCCATCCTTGTTGGATTTAGAGAATTAGAGAGGCTGATCTGCTTCACCTACTCAGATCTGGAGCAGCAACCACTCATTTCTTACCTTCCAACCTGGAAATTCATGAGCAGTGCCAGCTAAAATGGAAAAAAAAAACCCACAGCAAATGAATCAGTGCCACAAAGGTGGTGCCTGTGGTGCCTCAGCAGGCACAGACAGGTAAGCAGGGAGTGATTTTAACCTCTTTATAATCACTGAATGCACATCAGACCCCAACTCCCAGGGTTCTCCTGCACCCAACAGGGCAGGAGCTGCAATTGCTCCCTTTTAATGCAAGTCATTAACCTGCATCTGCCCTCAGGCTGCTGAAAGTTGCTGCAATCCCTTCATCTGGGCAAAATCTGGGCATCTCTCTGGGGTATTTTAGTCTCAGCTCTAATTACCAACCAAGCACAGCCTAGATGGGCTTTTCTCCGAGGCAGAGGTTGCTGCCAAAGCCTTGGGTGTATAAAGGCAGAGGAGACTTTGAAGTTTGCAGCAGCTGGGTTTGAAAGGGCTGCGAGTCTGGCTCAGCTGCTCCGAGCACAGGAGAGAGGCTCATTATTGAACAGAGTTCTCAGCGAGGGCAAGTGTGGCATCACTGCCAGACCCCGCAGCACCCAGAGCTGCTCCCCCCCAGGACACGCTGCACCTGCTCCTGCACTCACCAGAGCTGGCATTCCCGGGAAAAGAAACATGCCAGCACCTCTGGAAGCGAGCACTGCCCGCGCTGTGTCCCACACTCAGCCCCTGCACACCAGGGCTGCCCCGGCAGGAACACCAGCAAACCCATCCCTGAGCCCTGAGATCACAGAGGGGTTTGTGCCCCCCAAACCTGCCCAGCCCAGCCCAGCCTCCTGCAGGACAGCCAGGCCTGAGCAGCGACAGCCCCTCCAGCGGCCCAGAGCTCAGACAGGCTGCGGGCAGCACCCCGCGGGGCCTGCTGACCTCTGGGGTGATCCTTGCGGAATTCCCACTGACCTGTGGGGTGATCCCTGCAGAATTCCCACTGACCTGTGGGGTGATCCCTGTGAATTCCCAGTGATCTCTGGGGTGATCCCTTGGAATTCCCACTGACCTCTGGGGTGATCCCTGTGCATTCCCGCTGACCCGTGGGGTGATCCCTGTGAATTCCCAGTGACCCGTGGGGTGATCCCTGTGAATTCCCACTGATCTCTGGGGTGATCCCTGTGAATTCCCACTGACCTGTGGGGCGATCCCTGTGAATTCCCATAGCCTGTGGGGTGATCCCTGCGCATTCCCAGCATGGCACCCAGGGGTGCTCTCTCTCGGGACGGCAGTGAGCAGCCAGGTGCAGAGGTGCTGCCCAGGCTGGCACTGCTGGGTGCAGCAGCTGCTGCCAAACCCGGTCCTGGCAGGGTGAGCACACACCCAACACCCACACCCGCTGCAGCTCAGCACTGAGGGCCTGATCATCTCACCCGGGCTGAAAAATCCCAGGACCTGCTGTGGGAGCCTCTGCTTTTCCTGTGACCAGGTTATCCCAGCATTTATCCACCTCTCCACAAAGAACAGGAACACTTTGCTGCCTGGAATGCTCCACCCCAGAGGGAATCATTTCCCAGCTGGCCTAAAAAAAGGCAAGTTTTCAGTTTTTTGAGTGACATCTTTCTCAAATGATGGAAGGCAATTTAAAGGCAGCAGTATCTTCCCCACAGTTTAAAATCTAAATGAGAGGGTTTTTTTTTTTTTGAGGAAGTTCTTCCTTCTGCATTCAAATTTGTTCTTTAAAATGCTGCTATTGTTGGGAAGAGAAGAGCATTATCCTAGAGCTGCCAGTCTCACAATCATGACAAACCTGCCATAATGGCAGAACTTTAATTGACAGATTATCTCTGCCATAAAACACACACCGAAGTTTCCTCTCTTCTCTGAGAGGAACTATGAGCAATAAACTCTCAACAACTCCAAACTCATTTCTTCCATCTCAGAAGCTCCTCCAAGTCCTCCCAATTTAACACTCCCAGGCACATCAAGGAGGCTTTTTGGCTTTGTCTAAACATTTGAATTGTCTCACATTCCCCCCAGTGCTGCTCTCAGTCATGACAGAATAAAAGGGTTCTCAAACCTGCTCAGGCCTAGACAGGAAAGATGCTTTTCTGAAATAACCATCAACATGGAGTTTATCTTGTCATTTCTAAAGTCCAAAGCCTGACGAGAGGGTCAAAATAACTCCTATTTTTCAGTGGTGTAACATTATAAATACACTCAGCACATTACACATTGTTTTATTCCTTTTAAGAGTAATAAATTTAGAATTACTCAAGTAGAGGCCCTGATGCCAAGTTTTGGGATGCTTTAGGTATCCTTGGGGTGTAATTTCCAGTTCAAATGTCTAAAACCCAAGTTAAGCACAACCTAGATGGGGTTTGCTCCTGGTCAGAGGCTGCAAAATCTCAAGCAGCTCAGCTTCAGCAGAGCTGAGAAAAATAAAAAAAAAAAATTGTGGCCAACACTTGGTATTTCCTGGAAACGTGGCCCAGTTCCATGTGGTCTTTCTATGAAATCAAGCTGCCACTGCTCTGCACTCTGCTCTCACCCAGAAAGGAGCTCTGGAGGCCCTGGGGTGATGCAGAAAGGCCAAGCAGGAGCCTCTTTATACAGGAATCATTCACAGTTCTCCTCCTCTGCCTGGAGCCGGGGCTGCCAATGCTCCGGAGCTCCTCCCCACCGAGCCCTGCCTGAACTTCCCTCTGGTACTGGCCAGCAGCAGCTCAGCTCACTCATGCCCTGCTCCATTCAGCAGCCCAGGAGGGTTTATCAAGCCTGGAGCAGCAGGAATGTCCTTGTGCCTCTGCCCTTGGCTCTGTCCCACGGAATCACGGCGTCACCCGTCTGCCAGCGCCGTGGTGCTGCCTCCACCCCATCTCCTGTGGCATTGCCTAATCCCAGCACAGAACTCCCAGCAGCCCAGGCCAAAGCCCAAATTCTAACCCAAGTTCTTCACACACATCTGCATGATCCACTAGAAACTCCACCCAAGTGGGCAGCACTCGCTGAATTCCTGTCTCAGAGCTGACCCCACGATGGCCTCAAAGCTGAAAAGCTCAGCAGGGGTTTTGTAAGAGCTGGACCAAAGTTGTGTCCCAACCCACAGACTGTCAGAGCCACACACAGCCCAGGTCTGTGGGCTTGATCTGGGACAAGCCACCCAAAAAGAGAGGACTGACGTAAGTTTACAAGCTGTAAGCGGAGCATGGCAGCAGTGAGAGCCCCCACAAATATCCCCACTCCAAACAGAGCAGTGTTCATTTGCAGCACAGAACACTCCCTCTACTTTGCTTGAGGGAGGGCAAGGCATGGTTAGAAAAATCCTCCTCTAAAAGCACATTCTTCCTACAAAAATCCTCTCATAAAAGCACGTTCCTCCTTTAAAGATCCTCTCCTCAAACTATGTTGCTCCTTTAAAAATCCTCTCCTAAAGCACGTTCCTGTTCTGTCCCCAGCACTTGGGCAAGAGCGTTATGGCACCCCAGCAGAAGTCCAACGTTCACAGTCCCTCACAGTGCCTGCTAAGCTGTGGCACAGAGCTGGCACCTCCAGAATCACCAGTTCTGACTATGACAGCTGGCAAGAATTTGGGAACTGATACATGAATGGCTGGAGGAAGATCCTGCAGAAAGAGCAGAGGCTCCATTTTTGCTACCATCTGGAGAAGAGCATGTTCTCAGTGTCAGCCCCAGCAGCTATGGATGCGTTCACCTCCTGGGAAGTGGAAATTCCCAACAGAATTTTAGGGAAGAGCTCATTTGCAGGATGCACCACAAGCTGAACAGAAAGGAGACAGAACTTTCCCAGCCGGAAACACATCCTGCATCTTTCCATCTCTTCAGAAGTTTGTTTTCAGAGGTTTTCCTTGCTACTGTCAGTCACCAAAACACCCCAAAAACAGAGCAGTATTTGTTCTGTGAGCAGTTCCCTTCCTATTTGCTCTGGGAGCCTTAAACAAAAATGATCCCATTTCATCTCCAGTTTTAATGACAAATTCTGGTTTTACTCACAGCCACACCAATGTACCAGCTCTCCCCACACAGAAAACTGAAGTTTGCCTTGCAGAGTGCCAGAGCAGAGCAGCTCTGGAGCAGCAGTGGCTGGCAGGGCAGAGGGAGCTGGCATTTCTCACCTAACGTGGCAGCTGCCGCCAGCCCGGCCGCGTAGGGATCCGTCCCCGGAGGCGCCGCGCTGATGATGTAGGGGTTGGGAACGAAGGCAGCAGGAGCTAAACCTGCTGAAAACATTACTGTCAGTGAAAACAAACTCAACACAACTGCAGCCCCACCACAGCCCCCCTGCTGCTGCCTGGGCAGCACCAAACTCCAGCTAGTTTTGTGGTTTTAGGCTTTTTACGGGTGGTTCTCTATAGGGAGTGACAACATTGTGAGTGTTGATGGGCAGAGGAGAGATCTGGCATTTAAAAACCCCAATTCCAAGGATTCAATGTTCCTTAGGAGGTAAAATCCTTTATATCCAATAGCTCAGGGCAGACAGACCTGCTCAGGAGACTGGAGCTTTTACTACTCTGTATTTCTTACAGCGAGTAAATCAGGACTCAAACCACCCCATGCTGAGCTCTGTGCACACCATGGATCCCAGCATTGCAACTGGTCAGTCTGGGAAGGGCTCAGGAGTGGAAAAACATTCTGTCCCTCTGCAAGGGGACAGTTTAATCATTAGAGAAAGCCCAGGTAGGCGGGAGAGGGGTGTGCAGGGGAGGTGAAGGTGAAGGGGAGGAAGTTAAAAAGCTGAATAATTTCAATCCCTGAACTCCACTGAGCACACAATTCAAGTGAAGCTGAATAATTTCAATCCCTGAACTCCACTGAGCACACAAGGGCAGAGCACAGAGCTGGGAGAGCCCCAAGACATCTATACTGGGGTTTTGGGCAAGAAGAACTACCACAAATTGCTTATTGTGCTCAAAACATTAATACATTGTTTCCCTGGTTTTCTACACATGATTAAGTGCTTTATTCCCAGTAAATAAATATATTTGATGAATAATTTCTATTGATATCAATCATGTGTTTCCATAAATTACATTTTTAACTCATAAGACCCCTGGCAGCGTATTTGTATTAATGTGATAAGTATTTTGTGCATTACATTGTGGTATTAAATTGTGCACTTCCCCTCACTTCACTCTGCTGTCACCCTGACTTATGCTTCACTCAGAGACTTCCAAAGCCTCTCCTGACTGACCAGCACCCTCAGGAGAGCGAGACTGTCAGTCCTGCCACACAGAGAACTCCTGTAAAAGGCTTCTCAAGTGTGCAAGAGATGCCCACGAGCAAATCTGTAACAATGCACTTCTGCCCAGGCACTGATTGTCAGCTGTGAAATACACTTTAAACCCTCCCAGTCCTTTTCCCCTGGTGTTTTCCCAATGGAGCAGGAGGAGGGCAGCGGAACAGGCAGGAGGAGAGGCAGACTCACCTATGTGTGGCTGGTGGGCAGCAGCCAGGGCGTACTGCTGCTGCTGGGCTGCTGTCAGCTGCTGCACTGCCAGTGCGTTGGGCCTCTGGAACAGCTGTGGGGAGAGCAAAAAGAGCCCTGAAACCGGGCACACACAGCCCTGAAACCGGGCACAC